CCGACCTGCCTCCCAGGGGGACGCTTTCCATGAGGGAGGAGGGACCCGTGAAGCAAGGAGGCCAGGAAATGGCCTCGCTTGGAAAACAGGAGCCAGGACCGCACTCTTTCTTTTATTAGTCATCAATGGACCTTTACTTGTTTGTGGCCTGTACGGTGCTGAGAATGAGCCCAGGGCCTCACACGTGCCAGGCCAGCGCTCTACCCGGGGCCCAGCCCCGCCACTGACAAGACCTGACTGAGCACCTATGTGGGCAGGTCCAGCTGTGGCCTGGGACGGTGACCCCAGGTGTAGCCACGGTGACCTGCAGAGAGGCCCTGGCCCAGCAGACCCTGGGGGTCACTCCGAGCCAGGTCATCTGTTCCCCAGGTAGGGGGAAGGCCACAGCAGGGTGCACTGTGAGGCCAGTGGTGGTCAGTTCTTCCCCCATGCTTCCAGAGGGTCTCCCGCTGCGTGCGGCCCGCGGTCTGCCTTGAGCATCTTCAGATACTTCAAAGAAAGCCCCCCACTCCCCACGCCCACTCCCACTGGCAGCCTCCCATCTGCAGCCCGTGTGGCTCCCGGGAACATTTCTCTTCACGGCTCACACCGAGTGCCAAGAGCGAGGAGCGGGAGTGAGGAGCGGGAGCGGGAGCGACTTCAGCTCCCTCCGAGAGCCTGCCGAGGAGGAGCTATTTGCAGAGACGTGGAGGCCATGAGGGATGGAGTCCAGGCCGAGAAGCAACAGGTGCAAAGGTCCTGCGGCAGGGGTGTGCCTGGTGCATTTGGGGAGCACAAGGTCAGCGTGGCCAGCTGGAGCAGAAGAGTGAGGGAGAGGGACAGGGGTGGTGGGGGGAGATCAGGGTTCAGGGGCACCGCAGGCCAAAGGAAGGGCTTCGGCGTTCACTCGGGGCGAGATGAGCAGCCAGAATTGGAGCCGAGGATTCGGCGATGTGATAGAATGTGTCGGGATGAGCCCTCTGGTCACCAAGGAGAGGGCACAGCAAGGGAGACGAGGGCAGAGATGGAAGACCCACCAGGAGTCCACGGCAGCAGCCCAGGCAAGAGACGGCGGTGGCCAGGCAGGGCTCAGCATCCCGACCTGAGAAACTGGCTCCTGCTCCTTTCCCGCCACCCGTCTTCCTCCACCACTTTCCCAAGGAGGCCCCGCCACCGGACGCCGCTTGTTTACCTGTGGTTTCAAGAAAACAAACCTCCGCATCGTCTCAGTGGTTATCCATCAAAACCGGCACCTCCCCTGCCACCGGGTTTGGGCCACAGGGGTCTGTCTCACGGGGAGCGCTCACACCGCTCCCAGCGCTGCAGGCCTCAGGCGTGGGCAGACGTGAACCCCTCCACCCAGCAGTGGCAGACGGGGGGCGGGGGGGGGGGGTGTTCCGGAATCTTGAAGGTCCCGGCACCTGCTCTGACCCAGGCCTGTAGAAAAGGACTGCAGCCCTGAGGCCGGTGCCTGCGCAGCCCCTGTGAGCCCTGGGGCCCAACGCTGCGAGAGACGGGACTTAAACTCAGAGCAGCTGCCTAGCATTGCCTGGGACATCGGCCCTGCAGGACACAGGTCTGTGGGCAGGCCAGCAACACCGCTCTCACCACCCGCCAGCTTACTGTACTGTGCGTCAAAACTGTGGAACTTGCGCCTTAATTCCATGATCTCACAGCTACCTGGAATCGAAGGGGGTTTTTTTAACATCACTTTAAAGAAAAATATTGAATCACGGCGTAGCTGGTACGCGGGGAGCCCCCCAAGCCGTCAGGAGCCGGGTGGGCATGGAGCGTCCCCGGGAGACTGGCTTCTGGCAGTGTGTGGTCTGGGGCTGGATTTAAGTCCCACGGGTGGGGGAGGGGCCCCTGGTCATCCGTCACAGAGAGAGGTGTCAGGGTGACCTCACCCCTGGCCCAGCGAGGAGGGAAGGCTCAGTCATGGAAAGAAGCCGGGTCTGTTTTTCTCTGCATGTCCCCAGGTTTGTGTTGGACAGAGTCCGTTTGGGCTGGCGGCCCGGCCTCGGTTGAAACATGAAGAACTGGCCTTTTTAGTTCTTGTGGCCACGTCTCCCAGGTCTCCCCGGCGCTGGCCATCCGCATGGGGGTCCGATCATGTTTGTGTGTTGCAGATGTGGCCTTGGAGGGCCTGGTGGCTGTGGCACTTTGAGTAAAGCAGATGATGTCCCTGGGCGAGGCCCAGCATGGGGCACTTCTGAGGTGCAGATACCAGGGTCCCTCGGGCACTGGCTCGGGCAGGGGGAGTGTGGGGAAGGGGCACTTCAGGGGCCGCCCGCCAGGCGCGAAGGGGACGGAGCCAGTGGACCAGGCTTCCGAGTCCATTAAAATAAGCAAGGGGCCCACCGCGTGGGGGCCTCCACCAGGGCAGCACCCAGTGCCACCTCCCTGGGGGCCTTCAGGGGGGCCTCCCCAGCGTCTCCGCAGGAGGGTCTGGTGGGTGGTGGGACCATCTTCTGTCCCCGTGTGGTCTCCGGGGGGTGAGAGGCTGGGCGCCCACTGCCAGCCGCTCCATCCTTTTTCCTGAGATTGTGAACCAGGTGCACAAAATCTGTGCACCCAAGAAATATTCACCGAGTAGCTACTGAGCTCCCAGCAAGCTCCAGCTGGGGGCCAGAGCTGTGGAATAGGCGATGACCCTGGCACTGATGTTCTAGCTCTTTCCAGGCAACAAATAAGGAGGACAGATTAATACGTGAAAGTAGGGTGCTTGACTGTAAGGAAAGAACGTCTGTCTTGGGGCCACAGGTCCTCCCAGGAGATCCCAAGGGGCCCCAGCTGTGACTGACGGGCACTAGGATTTCTGCCAGGAGTGAAGTCCCCCCGCCCCAAGGGGCAGGAGGAGTGGCTTCACCAGGCTCCTGTAACCGGCTGGTGCTGCTCTGCACAAGCAAATGAAGCCTCCCGGCTGGGGTAGAGCAGAGCCCTGGGCCTCGCCAGCCTCAGCCCCACTTCAGGCTGCTGAGTAGCACCAGGCGCTAAGGCGGCTCTCGTGGAACCCACTCCTCCAGCCCCTGCAGGCGGAGGCTCCACACCTAGAGCAGACCCTACAGTTGCCCACCAGTCAGAGCTGGAGGGCACCAATAGTTTGAGACCTGAATGATGGGCTTGGCCAACTGAAGCCGAGTCTTGGAAAGAGAACCCTGAAGAGAGGTGACGGCCAGTGCAAAGATCCTGGGGCAGGATCCAGCCTGCAGCACTTAAGAAATGTCCAGGTGGCCAATGTAGGCGAACCAAGGTGAACAAGAGGGGGGTCAGAGAAAGAGGAAGGCAGGTGGGGTCACGAGGGGTCTTCCAGGCCACAGGAAGGGATCTGGGCCATCTGAGTGCAGTGGCAAACCGAGTGGCAGGCCGAGCTCTGGAGAGCAGCGGTATTATCTGTTGGCCTGGGGGAGGCCTGGCTCTGTTCCTCCCCTATCTGGCAGAGAGATGGGGCAAAGAGGTCTAAATCTCCTCCCACTCAAGCCCTGAGGGAGGCCTCACACCTGTTGTCCCATCTCTAAGGAGGTGCTGGGTTCACGCTCTCCCTAGGGCCGGAGGCTCCAAGCCAGATAGACCCTGCTGGCTCCAATGCTGTCCTGAGGAGTGGCCGGCACTTAGAGCAGCAACGTTCACTGTCCCCAGCCCCCAGGGCCCAAGTCCAAAACGAACCTGTGAGCAGGGCCGGGCCTCCAGGCTCGGGGCGGGGGTGGGGATGGGGGGTCCTCCCGGCTCCTTGCTTTAGGCCGCCCCTCCCCCGTCAGAGCCTGCCCAGTGTCTGTGACTTCAGCTTCTGTCTCCTACGTGGACACCTGGGTTGGACTTGGCACCCGCCTGGGGCAGCCAGATCGCTCACCTCCGGGTCTGGGACTTTTTCCAAATGAGATCACACAGATTCCAGGAGTTAGGTTTGATCTGGTCCTTTGGGGGGGGCACCGTTCAACCCACCATAGACCCTAAGAGCTACAAGGAAAGGGGAGAACCCACGGGTGGCCATAGGAGGGAGAAAGGGGATTTGTGCGGACTGTTCCCTCCAGGTCTGCTCAGTGGGTGTAGCCATAGGATCCCCTCATCATGCAGCTGTTGAGCACCTGCTGTGTGCCCCGACAGTGGCTGTGCTGGGGACCCAGCCATGGGCAGAGCAATGGCTTTTGCCCACGTTCATCCCCTTCCTTCCTGAGTACCTAACTCTGCTTCCAGCCTCGTGGAGATTCAGGAGTAGGCACGGGGCATCCACTGCCCGGGGTATGTGACAGGTCCTGGCAACACGTGCTCCGGATGAGCGCTCAGAGGACAGAAGGCTGCGTGGGCAGGAGGCTCCAGAGGAGGTGCAGCCAGACAGATGGGTTAGATCTGGGCAGAGAAGGAGGGTGAGTTCCAAGTGGACCAAGGAGGAGTCAGCGCCACTACTGCTGAGCATTTTGGCGGAGACATACTCAGGGAGTTTGGCCAAGGGTTGGCAGGACGGGATTTCAATAAGTGTGAACGATTCTTGGGGAAATTCCAAGCCAAGCAAAATACCATCTTTCCCCTGTTTACATGGTGGTTGCTTTCAAAAAAATAGAGTCAGTATAGATCAATACCCTGAAAAACAACCACCAAAAAAAAAAGCTCATATGTAAAACATTGCGATTCTGAGATCTTTAAAACAGGTTTCCACTCAGCCCGACGTGAACGTCTGGTAGGTGTGGGGGCCAGAGACTTTGGTGCGCTTGTTCATTTGCAGTCCTGGGGTGAACCCCGGGCCTTGCACAGGCGAGCAAGCTCCACCACTGAGCTACACCCCCCAACTTTTTATTTTGAGGCAGGGTCTTGCTAAGCTGCCCACGCTGGCGGGGCACCTGGGGTCCTCCTGCCTCAGCCTCCAGAGTAGCTGGGATCACAGGTGCGCCCCGCGCCCAGCTGGACCCAGGATATTTCCCGACTGGGCCGGACCATCCCCCCTGCCCCTGTGGATTCCCTGTGGTGCCCTTCGAGCACGGGGCGGGGTGGCCGTCCCCCCAGCGGTCTCTCTGTGCCCTTTGCAGGCTCCATGCAGGTGATGAACAAGACCCGGCGCCTCATGGAGCAGGGCGGCGCGCACTTCGTCAACGCCTTCGTGACGACGCCCATGTGCTGCCCGTCGCGCTCCTCCATCCTCACGGGCAAGTACGTGCACAACCACAACACCTACACCAACAACGAGAACTGCTCCTCGCCCTCCTGGCAGGCGCAGCACGAGGGCCGCACCTTCGCCGTGTACCTCAACAGCACGGGCTACCGGACAGGTGAGCGCGGGCACGGAGGTCCGTCCCGGGGGTCCATCCCGGGTCGCACACCCGACCGCTTTCCTTCCATTTCAAAGTTGTGCCTTTATTTCTGTGTGTAGAAATCAGAAACGTGCAGACTTGTCAGTAGTAGGGATAAAGGGACCTTTTCAAAAAAGTTGAGTTCTTAAAAAAAAAAAACCCGGCTGCGGACAGAGCTCAGTTGGTAGAGTGGTCACCTCGCATGCACAAGGCCCTGGGGTCGGGAAAAAAAAATCCGTCTAAAATATTGTATTCCAGGGAGACCACAGAGTCCCAGGCAAAAGTTTGTTTTCTGCTATTTAAAGCCATGGGGTGGGGGGACAGTTTGACATGGGCGAGATTTGAAGAGATGTAGGATCTGGGGTTCTGTATGGGGGCGACCGGGATGGCTCAGGTTACCCTGGTGCTGGGCCTTTCATCCACAGCTACCCAGGGAGGGCCCCCCTTTCAGCAGGGCAGAGTGCCCCGGGCCACCACCAGGATCCTGTTTATCTTGCTGGAGGGACTGTGAGTTCCAGAGGCGCCTCTGCTGGGCCAGCTGCCGAGATAGGGGTGTTCTTAAGCACAGCCTCTCACTCCAGCCCCGTTGCAAAATCCTCCAAACTCAATTAATTTCGCTTGCTTTAAAAAATAAATAAATACGCCCCACCATGGGCCAAGGGCCAAGGCAGCTGTGAAACCAGATGTTGTGGCCCAAATGTTGCAACCCGGGAGAGCTGCATCCAAGTGGCTAGAGGTTGGTTTGGCTGGGAGGGACGGGAGGGAAGGACAGCCTGAGGTGGGGCAGCGTCTTCTGATCCACAGTGTGGGCTGTCGGGCAGTGGAGCCGCCAGGAAGCCGGGGTCGTTTCCTGCACACTCAGCCGGCCACCAGAATCACCTAGAAAGTGGGGCCAGCTGCAAACCAGGAAGGCCCACTCCCTCCTCAGCCGTGCATCATGGGTGCCGGTGTGTGAGCATGACCCCTTTGGTTTCTGGGTCTCTGCAGAAGGCTGTGCATGGCCAAGGTCACCTGGGTTACCCCTTCAGATAATGAGGGGCCTGGCCTTGCTGGTGGAGGCAGGTAGGTGGGCTACAGCAGGGCCTCAGGCCCTTACGAAAGGAGGCATCTGCCACTCAGGTCCAGAAATCATAGCTATTTCTGTGCACAGTCACTGAACTGCAAATATTTTACATTGAATTTTAGCTAAAATCTCCTGATTAAAAAAAAAAATGTTGGCAAAACTCAGTGTTTTAAAAATGCATGCTGTGAGCCAAGGAAAACGAGGACAGGTGTGGCCCACGGCCCCCTTTCATGACCCCTGGCTGCACAAGGCGTGTGAGACCGTTAGCTTTGTGGATGCCAAAAGAACAGTAAAGACCCTATAAGTGTTCTCTCAGCCCCTCACGTGCAGACCAGGACGGCTGCAGCCCAGAAAGGGATTTGTCCAAAGTTACAACGTGAGGTGCTTGTGCTGCGATCAGGATGGGGACCAGGGCGTGGGAAGCCAGGTGGTGCAGACGCGGGATCTGGCCCATTGAAAGGAAGCTCGCTTTTCTCGTGGCATTTGAGGGCTGATGCCAGGGGGAGCTAAAGGCTAGGGGTCAAAATCACCCAGGTGACCCAAGAAAAGGAGCGACCTCCGGAATAAACATTCTTCAAAGCTGATGCTGCAAACTTCATCCTTGAACTTACACAAATCACCAAGAATCTGCCTCCCAGAGGACTGACTTGGCCCAGCTGTACTTTGTGGGTACCTGTGTGGTCCTGGGAATGGGACCCAGGGGCACTCTACCACTGAGCCTCACCCCTGGCCCTTTTTATTTTTTTATTTTGAAACAGGGTATCTCACTAAGTTGCTGCGCCTGGTCTTGAACTTGTGATCCTCTGCCTCAGCCTCCCAAGTCTCTGGGATTACAGGTGTGCGCCCCTGCACCTGGCTACCCAGCTCTACCTAATTATTATATCCTCAGTGAAGACAGGAACATGTCAAATATGAATAATAGCCACCCCATAGAACAATCGGAATGTTCAATGGCAGTGTTACAAAGTATTCATTTTATTTAGAATGTCCCCGTGTATGGGGGCAATTCTATAGATGTTAGAACTCAGAACCTGAAAACGCCTGTTCACTTTGAACGGGTGTGCTCCTGATTACTAATAAGCAAGAGCTTCCTGTATATTTTTCCTCTTTACCCTGGCACTAAGAAGCTCAGATTTGAGTTTTATGTTGCTGTTTAAGGTAAAAACATTTTAATTGTATGATACTAAGTTACACTGTCGATTGAGAAAATGACAAGAACAAATTGTAACGAATTCAGAATCCCTTCAATGTGATTCATGGTACACATTTAGTTATATAGTAAGATTTTAATCCCCAAGGACAGAAGGTCAATTGTCCCTGCAGGGTCTTGATCCATATTAAACTGTACATCTCTGCAGGTGCCTCGGGATTGATTGAGTGGGATTTAAGATGATATCTCAATTTAAAATCCTTGCTGCTCTGGTGGACCCAGCTTGGTCTATAGGTCCAAGACTCAGATTCCTTCTTTCCCATTGGTGAGAAGCCAGTCACATGGGCACATGTGGCTGCAAAGGCATCTGGGAAACAGTCCTCACTCTGGGTGGGCATTTGCCCCGCTGAAACTTCATTTACTTTGAGAGAAAAATGAAATGGATACTGAGGGAAAATGAAGCCTGAACCATAGTAATGTTGTTGATGGACCTTTATTTTATTTGCTTATTTATATGTGGTGCTGGGAATCGAACCCAGGGCCTCACACGTACGAGACAAGTGCTCTATCACTGAGCCACAACTCCAGCCCCTAGGTGTTTTATTTTAAGAAATGAAACAACAAAACTTTGAAAATAACTTTGTTATATCTTATAATACAGAGGCTGGGCTCTAATTATAACTAATGGGATTTTTTTTTGGGGGGGGGGGGGTTGTACTGGGGATTGAACTCAGGGGCACTTGACCACTGAGCCACATCCCCAGCCCTTTTTTGTATTTTATCTAGAGACGGGGTCTCACTGAGTTTCTTAGTGCCTCACCGTTGCTGAGGCTGGCTTTGAACACCCAATCCTCCTGCCTCAGCCTCCCAAGCTACTGGGATGACAGGCATGCACTATGGTGCCCAGCCTTATTTTTTATTTTGGGAAAGGGCGCTAAGTTGCTTAGGACCTTGATAACTTCCTGTGGCTGGTCTCAAACTTATGATCCTCCTGCCTCAGCCTCCTCAGTTGCTGGGATTGCGGGTGTGCACCACCACACCCTGGGATGGTTGTTTAAGGAAATGAGTTGGTGAAGTGTCTATTGGGAGGAGTGTAATTAGTCCAACAAATTTAAATGGTAGCACAGTGACATCCTTTACTCCGCCTTCCGTTTTCACAGTGGATTCAAAGAAGGTCACCTTTGCCAGAGTGTTTGAGGGTCTGATCCATCTTTCCTGGGGCTTCTCTTAATCCTTTGACATTTGAATTTTCCCCAGTGGAGAGCTTATTACCTCATCACCCCTCTCAATAGTCTCCTCTTCACTTATCTCCCAGGCCAGATTATTATTTGTCAGTGGATTTACCTGTGTTTCAAGCTGTCCTCCGGCATCACTTTAATTAATTTCACAAAACCCTGCATCTTTTAAAAGATGAGCAATTTCATCTTGCAATCATCTTGCTTCATGTTTCCCGTGTTTGCAGTAGAGATTGACACAGGATGAAGTGAGGGATGCTAAGTTTAAGCAGGATAAATATCAATTTGTTAATGGATCTTTCTGGATGTGGCTTCCTGTAACTTCAGTGACTTGAATCTTGGAAGGATAAATGACATCCTCCGGTTTTACAGAATGTGTGTAGTCACCCCTCATCACATTTCATCAGGTGACCACCTGCTGCCCTGACTGTTCTCACGGGTAGGTCCTCAAATCGAGGTCCTGCAGGATTCTCAGGGTGTGGATACCTCCCTGTTCTTTGCAGAGTGGTTGAGAGCAGGCATTTGGCTCCGGTTCAGGTCTGAACTCTGCCACTTCAGGCTCTATAAACTTGGATGCGTTATTTAGCTTGCACGTCTTGGTTACCTCAATCACAGATGATGTTACTTGGCTCAGAGGGTTTTGTGAATTCTTAAGACAGTGACTGGCATGTGGTAAGCACTTGAGAAGTGTCGTGGTGACAATGACGATTCACACAAGTACCCCAGCATCACACAGACGGCCTCGGCCGTGTTTAGTAAATGTCACAATAATTGCACATGGGGAACGAAACGTGGCAAGGAGCCCCACCTCTAGTGACCAGTAAATCACTTCAGATCAAGCGACAGAAACCTCAACTGCGACTGTTTGGACAAGCTATGGAATTTTTCTTTTCTTTTCTTTTCTTTTTTTCCTCCCTCAACTAAAGAGATTTAGGTGCTTCAGGCAGAATCTGGACCCGTGGTTCAAGTGCATGGTGATTTGGGCTGGGGATGTTACTTGGTGGTAGAGCACGTGCGTAGCATGCTTGAGGCCCTCTGTGCAATCCCCTGCACTGCGGAGAAAGAAGTGTCGTGACTTCATAGAAAGGCCCAAGGCCTTCCTTGCCAAGCTCGAGGCCGGTGTGTCCAGGAGGAGCCTAGGTCTGGAGACAGTGGCTGGCACCGGCCCCCGGCCCCTTCAATCACATCCTGCAGGAGCAAGACGCGTCTTTCCCCAGATTGCAGAAGTCGTGAGATTCTGATTGGACCAGCTCCAGTCACGTGCCAGCCTCTGAGCCAATCACCGTGGAGAGCGCCTGAGTGAGCGCATTAGCTTAGCTGCCTGTCCCCGGCTCAGCCCGTGGAGCCGGTTCTCCCCGGGCCCGGGATCCCCGAGTGGAGGGAAGGATGAGGAGGACGGGCCTGCTGGGCTGCCCATCTCAGGCTGGAGGAAAAGCTCATTTTCTGGTACTTTCTGGTAAATTAGGCCGGAGAACCCAGTTACCCCTCCGGGGGGCGCCGTGTTACCATCTGAGCCGCCGGCTCCCAGGTG